AGTGTGGTTTCCAAAGAAATCCACTTGTACCCAATCCTCTGTGTTGGAGATTTGGCCTGTGCAGGGCGGAGGGCTTGTGGAGCAGGCCCCATCACACACTGCTTAGCCTTCTCCTGTTGGCCCTTCAGTTCCTGCCTCTCTGCTTTGCTCCAAGCTGATGGCCCTCTTCCCTGGGCCCAACCAACCAAGAGGGAGGGACATCCTGGTTGGGACAAGCCAGACCTTCTGCTAGAGCTGCTCCCAGGGATCAACCTCCACCCCAGCCCTTGTGGTATTTTGCTGAGCAGTGTTTTCTCCCTGCTGTTAATTAGCCTTGGTTATTACAGAGGCACCACCCTTACCTCTTCATAGCAGATTGTGTTTATTTGTTTAGAACATTGTTTTTCTCATAAATTGGTTGGTTCATAGACCTTTCTTACTGTGGTTTATGGCTGTTGTCTGGATATTCCAAAATAGGCATATTCAGGGAAATTTGGTGACTGGTTGGAGTAACTGTTAGGAAGGACTGCAGATGTTCTGTGTTCTATGTGGGCTTATTAACCAGATTGGAAATGACTGTTTATGTCTCATTCTAGTGGCATAGAAGCTTACTGGGTTGCAATAGTCTCCTTTTCTCCTGCTGCTGCTATCAAAGCCCCAGAATGCTGCTAAAACCATTCAGTTCAATAGTCTTTATTGAGCACCAGTTATCTGCAAAAGATCATGTTGGTGAAAAGCTACTAATTCCTTTGCAGCTTGCAAAGTCCAGTCTGGAAGTTCCTGTCCCCGGATGTCTTCTCTGATTCCCGTCACCATCACTCGTCCCTAGTGTGAATCCTGTCCCTCCTCTAAGTGGCCTGTGCATCTTGCTTGGGCACATGTTTGGTGCTGCTCTGTGATTTTTTTTTTTTTTAAAAGGTTGGGCTCTCTTACTAGACTGTGTACTAAACCTCCAGCAACTGTCTCTTTCATGTTCATATTTCTAGCTCCCAGTGTAAGGCTTTGGTCATTTGGAAAGCCTTGAATGAATGAATGAGGGCAACTTCAAAGCCTGTGTATGTGTGTGTGTTTTTCAGGTTTGAGCATAGGTCCTTGTGCCTGGTCTCAGCCCCCCCCTCTCTCCTGGGGTGCAGCAGCAGCTCTGTTTCCAGCCCTGTGGGTCCCACTAGCTACTCTGCTGCCCAGAAGTCTCCAGCGGCTTCCATCTCACTCACTGTGGGAAAGCCAGAGCTTTACCTTGACTCCTGAACCTCTGGTGCTCTGCCTCCCCAGGACTCCCCGCCTAGACTCCATTGCTTCCTGTTTCCCACCCATGGCATACACACTTGGCCCAAGCCACCGGAATACCCCGTTCCTCCTGGAACAGACCACTTTGTCAGAGCTTCTGATCTGGGTTTTCCTCCTCCAGGAATGTTCTTCCTAGATACTTGTGTGGCTTAGCTCTTCACTCAGGTCTTTTCTCAAATGCCACCTTCGCAGTGATGCCTTATGTAGACCCTCCCGCCAGCACCCTTGTTGCTGCCGTCCCCCCTTTTTTTGACAGGGTCTTGCTTTGTCACCCAGGCTGGAGTACAGTGGCATGATAATAGCTCCCTGCAAAGCTCACTGCAACCTGGAACTCCTGGGTTCAAGCAATCTTCCTGCCTTGGCTTCCCAAAGTGCTGGGATTACAGACATGAGCTAACTTGCCCACTCTGACTTCACCTACTGCCTTTTATCATACGACATTTAATTGGCTTATCTATTTTGTTTTTCTTCTTCCCTCCCTGAATGAAGACAGGGGATTGGGTCCCTTTTGTGCACCAAGTAATCCCCCTACACACCAAGGGCCTAGACCGCACATAATAATGGTGACGGCCCACATGTATGTTGTGTGATATGTGTCAGGCACTTTTCACATCGTCATGAAGTAACCAGCTGAGTTCAGATCTAGGCAGTGTGAGTTCTGAACCCTGAGGCCTTTCTGCCTCTCACAATGAACGAGTAATTGAGTGATTGCTCAGAGCGAGGAGATAAGGCAAGTCGGCATTGCTGCGTTAGCCTGTGCTATGGTTGAACGAAATGGACGACATCCGACCTCTGTGAGCATCACGGCGCTGACCCCACTCATGAGAAGTTGCTTGAAAGGAAAAGGGCTTCCTTTTCAGTTGTGCACAGCAGCTGAGGGGGAGCTCTCATAGATGTAGGTGAAATAGCAGATACAATCCAGGCAGCTCAATTTGCAGCTCCAGACCCTGGCACTGAGTAATGGTCATCCTTGGAATATTCTTTAACATCTCGAGGTGCCTTCCTACCAGTCACCTCATTTTTATCTCACAGGAATTACATAGGGAATGAAGGGCAGATGGTATTATCCTCATTTTTTGTGCAAGAATGGGCAGAGCTTAGCAGCCAGCTGTGAAGTCCCACAGCTGGGAGCCAGAGTCCCAGCCCGACTCCCAGCTCCCTCCTGCCTGCTCACCGATGATGCCTTCAGGACTGCCCCCTAGACTCTTGTGTATTTTGCCCAAAGGTTCACATAGTTGGTAACACGACATGTTCTCAGAGCCCGCTGCCTGCAGAACCCAGGGTGGGTTTTGCTTTGCTCATTTTTTTGTTGCCTTTGGCTCATTTAAAGTTACATAAGCACAAGGTATTTAAAAAAAAAAACTCAAAACATCAGCAGTAGGGAAGACCCCTCCTGGATGTCTCCTGGCCAGCGCTGCCCTCACCTTTGTGCTCAGCAACCCTTTTATACACAGCAGGGGCCCTCATGCTCCTGCAGTCACCCTCCACGTGACAGACAGGGTGGTGTGGGAAACATTTCCTCTGTCTGCACCAGTGCTGGGAGCTCCGGGCCCTGAAATCACTGATTAGCTCCCCACACTGGGGGAGGAAAGGAAACATGCAGAAAAGTCGCAAAATATCCCGGAAGGACACACACTGAAAGGTACATTTCCTCACCACTCTTGACCCTGTCACTCCAGGGGCAGCTCCACCAGCAGGAGAGGTTCACACGGCTGTACCTCCTCCCTGGGTTCACTACGCGCTGTCCCACTGTCCCTCACTCTACTTCACTTTAGGACACCTTGGAGATGTTCCCTTGTTGGCACAAAGAAATCTACCTCTTCTCTGGTGGTACTTGTCCGAAAACAGTTTTCTGTTTATTTCACCGTCTGATTATTCTGAGTCGTTCTGACAACACTGCTGTGCTGTCACCCCTTGCTGTCCTCTACGGGCTTCTCTACCCGGGTCAGTGGGGCGAGTTCCTGCAAGTGTGGCAGGATCACTCCACGCACAGCTGAAAGAAGACTGGGGAAACAGGTCAGAGAGAGGTCCCAGAGTGCTCCCTGGTCCTCCAGCCCTCTCTCTAGCCCCAAGTCTTCCTGGGACTGGCCGGTTCTCTCCCCTCCCACCTCGCCGGGGATGACTGGCTCTGCTCTGTTCTGAGCACCCTCCACGCCTTTCTCACGGGGGCGCTGTGTTCCTCGTCTCACACTGCTCGGACTATTTTTCTAGTTGTCCAATTGGTAGAATGTCACACAGCAGATCCTTGAATGATGTAGTTTTCTTCTAAGTCATTTTGTTGTAAATTCAATGAGGAAAAATATAAATTCCTGGTTAGGGCCACTGTTGGTATGGAGTTTGCACGTCCTCCTCATGTTTGTGTAGGTTTTCTCTGGTTACTCAGTTTCCTCCCACATCCCAAAGATGTGCTCAGGTAAGTCCACTGGAATGTCTACACGTTCCCAGTCTGAGTGCACCCTGCCGTGGGCTGGTCCCCGCCTTGCACCCTGAGCCCCTGGGACCCATTAATGCTGAACCAGACAAAACAAGAATGGATATAGGTGATTTTAACAATACAATTCTGTAAAGTAGGGTTTACAGTAGGTAATAATAATGATGTTTGTGATGTTCTTCAACTATGTGGGGGAGGGGGAGCTCCCAGCAAGTTTTGCTCTATGGGCCTTTTTTCCTTGATTTAACTCATCACCACCCAAGACCTTACAGACTCTCCAAAAAAATGAATAATTATCTTGTTTTTATTAATCTTAAATGTATATATAGCTCTTTATTTCAGTGTTTAATATGAGAAGTGTTTTAGACCTTTGCTTAAAAGTTTGGTGATATTTTCATGACCAGAATTATGCTGTAGGAATTTAACTCTTGTTTATGTCAATTAGCCCATGGTAAAAGTGGTTTTTCTATAGTCAGTTTCTAAGGCCCTGTGGACACCTTAAATGAGGACTTACTCTTGTTGTTTTCAACCAATAAATTCTGAGTCCCTGTAAGGGTGTAGTGCCACATCAGGTGACATGCACAGCACCATATCTGCCGTGAACCTTTAGCTCATGATGTCAGAATCTTGCCTTGGAGATAAAACTAGCACTCCTGAAATGATGTCCTGCCAGGTTAGGGTAGACGTAGTGTCTCTGGAATCAGAGGAGCGAACAGACCTGCTGGTGGAGGTGGCCTGAGGATGGGCCTTAGAGGACACAGGCTCTAAGTAGCCAGACTGCATAACTATTGGTGACAATGGTCATGAATAGCCCTTTCACGGGCGGCTTTGGTGCTATACATAATCCAGGGTGTCTAACCTTTTTTCTTTTCTGCTGTACATTAGAAGAAGAGGAGTTGTGTTAGGCCACACGGGAAATACACAAACCCTAATGAAAGCTGATGAGCAAAAGAAAAGAAAAGTTTTGTGCATAATTTTCACAACATCCAGCACCACAGATAAGCAAAACAGTTCTCCAATAATGCTCATGTAGCCAAGAGCCTCAGGGTGGACACACTATGCATTCCCTCTTTTCCTTCAGCCCTGTGTGGAAGACACTATTGTTGTCCCCTCTTGTGGTCAAGGAAGCTGGTAACTAGAGAGGTCAAGACCCGGCTCAAGGTAGCGTTAGAGGTCAGCCTTGTTCCAATCCCGGTCTGTCCTGCCCTCCTCTTCCCTCCATCGCTCTTCCCAGAGCGGGGCCGCCCGTTGCCAATTGTATCCTTGCTCCTTTCACCAACAGCTTTGTTGTCTGTCATTCTAGGATTTCTGCCATGGGCAAGTGATGTGGCCGCCCCTCACAGCCCTGCAGGTGAAGCTTGCTGAGCCCGGCCAGTCCTGCAAACAGGTGTGCCAGGAGAGCCAGCTCATCTGTGAGCCTTCTTTCTTCCAGCACCTCAACAAGGACAAGGACATGCTGAAGTAAGTGCCTGTGGCTGGAGGTGGGGAGGCGGGCAGCTCAGCCTCTGTAGACTCCAGCTTGCCTTCTGGAGGAGAGTTGGGGGAGTGGTTCAGGTTTCAGTTTCCAGGCTGTGGACTCTGGGGATGCAACACATTCACCCAGAAAGACTAGCCCAGTGTTGTTATGTCAAGCACTATGAGGTCACCTGGCACGGACAGGTTGATGTGTTTAGATTGTGAATGGTTGTGCTATATTTGCATAAACAGTGCCTTGTCTGGGCTTGGAGACTGTGGGAGGTGTTCAGTTTGTTGATGTTGGGCCCTAGAACAGTGAGAGTGGAGGTGGGCACAGAGCTACACGCACAGCCCTGGTGGCAGTGGGATCTCCACATGGCCCCCATAAGAACCTGAGAAGTGCAGGGGACAGTGGCAGTCGTTGACCCCAGAGTCAGAAAGGAATGAGAAATATGGAGGAGCTGGCACAAAAATGCTCACAACAAATTCCACGGACTGCCTTCCCCTCCTGTGGTCCTATTCCCTTACAGTTTGTTCCAGAACTTTGGCACATGGTACACAGCAGGCCTGAGCAGGTCTGTGGCAGCAAGGTGGGTGCGGACCAGGCACGCTGGCCCAGGGCTGCACACGGGAGGGGCCTTCAGGATTCCTGGAATTTGTTGCCCTTTTGCTTGCTGTCTTATTCCATTTTGCGCTGCTCTAAAGGAACACCTGAGGCTAGAGAATGTATAAAGAAAAGAGGGTTATTCAGCCCTGGGTTCTACAGGCTGCGTAAGAAGCACGGCGCCAGCATCTGCTTTTGGTTAAGGCTTCAGGGTGAACTGGAGGGTGAAAGGGGAGCAGGCGTGTCACGTGGTGAGAGTGGGCGCAAGAGAGCGAGGTGGTGCCAGGCTCATAAACACTCAGCTCTCAGGTGAACTAACAAGGTGAGAACTCGCTGATTCTCAGGCTGTTCATGAGGGATCTTTCCTGTGACCCATACACCGCCCACCAGGTCCCACATTGGACAATGGGGAGCAAATTTCAACATGAGATTGGAGGGACCAAACATCCAAACCCTTGCATTACTTTCAGTGATACCCTTAGTTTTCCTTTGGATCAGCATTTGGGTTTTGGTATTTGTAGTCCCTAATTTCCACATGAGGTTTCTTTCAGGTCTCTGACTCATGACCCCTGGCAGACTATATCTGGTCTCCCAATTTGTATCACACCTCACCCTGGCCCACATGTAGCTTAATGGTCTAGCCTCCTGACCCACCTCTATCTTCCTAGCTCTGATGAGGTGTTTTCTCTAAGTCATTTGCTTATAAATAATAAATAAGACTGCTATCCCAATGCTAAATATTCAGTCCAACAGTGGGACTTCCCCTGGCTTGAAGAGCACATTTAGGAATGGTGTGGACTTGGGTCCCGGGCTCACCTGTCCCTGCTCTGCCTGCCTGCCCAGCTGTGCTGCTGACCACTGTGGCGCTCTCTGCATGTTGGTCTCACTGGCCTGGCCCCTCCTGTGAGTTGTCTTAGCCTCAAGTGTGCTATCATACACTTTTTATCGAGAGTATAATTTTATGCTTTGTAGCTATCATCTTTCTTTAGGAAGTGTGGCCTCTGGCGTTTCCTGCAGGGATGCTCTCCTGAGCAGGGATGGGGGCAATGCTGTTTTTCCCTTTCTTTTTCTGGGAAGACCAGGCACAAAGGCTGTCTTGATTCCACCATCAAAACAGAAGCACAGGCCAGTAGAGGGAGGTCAGCAGTGAGAGCAGAGATGCTCTGTAAAGTGGGGGCCTCTGGTCTATGTGGAAAGTCTGACAGTCCTAGGAGCATCTGGTTCCACAGCATAGACCCTGAACCCTGGGGTTCTGAGAGGGGCTTTCTACTGGTCCCTTTTGCATAGAGCCCCCAGAACAAAGTGGCTTTTTGAGAACCCTGGAGTATCTTAGCATAGACGTCTGAATTCACTAGATACTGACTGGGGACTGCATACACAGTACTGTCTACATCAGCTCACTCCTAGAAGAGGAGATATGAGAAGCTGCATCCTGGGAAGGGACCTGAATGGGAACATCACAGCTTGCTTCCTGACCAGGCAGGAGTCAGGGGTCTCGGCCCAGGAACCACAATCAAGGCCTGGCTCCAAGCTGGCACCGGGCCCCGTGTGGCAGACTGCCTCCAGGTGAGCCTACAGGTCATCAGGGACACGAACCAACAGCTGGGTGAGCGTACAGTTCCCTCTGTTCCATCTGTTGTCTCATCTGCAAAATGCAGCCATCCTGGGCGATGGTGAGATAATACAGAGCTCTTGCCTAAGACACACCAGAATAGCCCTGTCTTCAGAGAGTTTTAGGTATCGGCGTAGGCCACCAGCCCAAGACTAGAAAAGCCAGGCCTCTGCCCTAGCCTCCCTTCTTCCCTCCGTGTACCATACAGAGTCCACAAGAGCAGAGGGACTCGGTGTGGGGCTGCTCTGCCTACTATGGAGACGTGGGTTTTCTTAGCAGGAGCCTGGAGTGAATGCTAATTTTGCAATAAAGCCGTCTAAAATTAATTTCCTGAACATAAGAGCCCTACTGAATAACTTGTTCATGCATTTGTAAATACTGATAATACTGCGAAAGCCCAGCTATCTGGCAGTCTATTGAGTGGAGGTAATCCTGGCCCATCCATATTCATGGCCAATTAGCAATTAGTAGCTCCTGCAAGCCAGTGCTACATTTTCTTCTCCAGCTTGGGGGCTGGTTCTGAGCCAGGTTTAAGCTCTTTTCAGTCTGGGCATGCCACAACCTTTAAGAGCCACCTGTCCTCATGGAGTGGTATGGATTTTATATTAATACCACATAAATGGAACCGATTGGAGCATCCTGTGTTTTCATCTTGCACTGGGGAGTCAGGAACTGGTCTTTGGTTTCTGTGGGTGCAGCTACTGCTGAGTCTGGAGAGGCCACCTCAAAGAATGCAGGATTCAGGTGTGACCCATCTCTGGACAAGACTTCTACCAGATCTGTGTGGGAACTTGGAAGGTGGAGGTCCCGAAGGAATACCAGAGTCCACTGCAGTGTGGCCCTGTAGGGAGGACTCAGCTCCATACTAGCAACGTGTGTTCATGGGAAGCCTAGTTCCTAAGTTGGGTGCCTCTTAAAGTTACATCTTCTAAAGTATCACAGCATTGGCAATGGGGGGTGCTCTGTGAGAAGGGGGAATTCTAAGCGGGCAGTGTAAACTGTAAGTATTTTGGTACCTGAGAGAAGGGAGATGGCCCTGAGTCATACAAAGGGAACTTGGTGGGACAGGTTTAGAATGGACAGAGCTCCCTGAAAAGGGGGTGGAGGGAGGGAAAGCACTCACCAGCAGGGCGAGTGGAGCGGGAAGAATGGTGGCTTCTGTTCGCCCCCCCCCCCCCCCCGGTCTGCGCTTCTCAGCGTAAGGCCTGGATGGCAGCCTTATGGCAAGGGGCTTTGCCTTCTTTTCCTCCTTCAAGTGCTGTAACTTTTAGAAAGCTAAAGGCTGATAGGCTGATGTGCCAGGAGCCGCTCTGTCCTGTAGGAAAAGCTCTTCAGGCCCTATTGAGAAGTCAGTACTATGGGAGCAGGGGATAGGGGCAGACAGAGCACCCCTGTGCACCCCTAAGAAGCCGGGGCCTCAGGGGGAGGCTGGCTGTTCTTTTAATCCACCCTAGTGACTAGGGGAAGTTGCTTTGCTTCTCCCCTGCCTTTTGCTGACTAGTTAAGCGAAGATGATAGTCACCTTCCTGAATGCCCAAGGCCCATAGGATGGCAATAAAAGGGAGATTTCCCTGGGGGCCTCGAGTCTGCTTGGAAGCCACCCAAAAATGCCGGGAACCACACCACAGGCCACAGCTCTGTATCAGCTGACCCTCAGTGGCGCTGCTTCAGGCTGGTCTCAGCTGTGCTCCAGGAGGCCTCTCCAGGGGAGGCATCTGCAGTGGGCCGAGTTGGGCAGCCCTCTGCTGCTGCAGCCCCTGGGGGTTCACATGGGCTCCTCCCCCAGGAGGAGGTGTATGTTGTGCAGAACCTGAGGCCAGGTGACTCAGGGAGGGAGTGTGAGGGTTTTTCAAGGGCTCCTGACGATCATGCCCTCGCCGTGGGGTCTGAGAGTGGTTTAGGGATTCCCACTCTCAGATTAGTGTGCCAGCAGATGGTTTGAGTTCAAGCACGGCAGCTGTGGTGGTAAGTCACCTAAATAAATAAATGTCATCAGTATAAATCTGTGTCCCAAGGCCACATTCCACATGTAAACTTTTCATTCTGGATTCGGCCCCAGATGTCCCTTTCTCTTTTTTAGCTTGTCAGACTATCCTGTGAAGGACCTGGTAGCTCTGAGTCTGATTGCTTTTAGGAAATCTATAAACATCCCACTTCCTGCCCCCACCCTTCATGATTTATGACCTTAAACCACTGAGCCCCACCATCTCCTGGCTGGCACCAAGAGCAGGGGTGTTGAGAGATGCAGAGAAGGCCCAGAGACCTGGCAACCACAGGGACAACGAGAGAAGGGCCTGCTCTCCTGGGAAGCCTCCAGCTCGAAGTTGGATCAGTGTGTGCAGGGGCAGCTACAGGCTCTAGGAGATGAAGGCCGTGGGGCCAGGGGCTCGCTCGGTTCCAGAAGCAGTTAGACCTTCAGCAAAGCTGTGCAGGACCCAACTGGCAGCCCCAGATATGCTAGGGATCACCATGTTAGCAAGGGGAGGCCCTGCGAATTGGTTGGTAGAGGCAGGTAGGGTGCTGTAGTGCAAGGGGGGATGGAGGCCACGCCATGCTCCTGTGTGTGGGCACACACAGGCCGTCGGTTTGGAGGCAACAGGAAATCTCCAGCTCCCAGTTCTGATCCCTGACTGATCCCAGTTCTGAGTCCTGTCAGCAAGAAGTGAGACCACTGCACTATTTTCTTTTTATCTTTGGTTACACTTTGATGGATTTGGAGAACACCCTCCTGAATGTCACAGGAATGGAAAATTAAGCATCCCTTGTACTCAATACTAAATTGAAACCTGTAGATTAACAACATGGACACATGAGAGAAAAAAATCAATTAAATTCAAGAAGGAGGGACTTCAGAAAGTTCCCACCTAATGGGTATAATTTAAGGGTCAATGACACACTTCCTAGATGAAGATCTCAACTACAACTTGGGCTTTATCTTACCAACACAAACAATGTAACCTAATCGTATATACTAGTGGTTTTCAACTGGTGTTGTGGAGGGGATCTTAGGTGTGCTGCAAAAATTTTTAAGGATCATTAATTATTTTTGAAAGAAGTTCAAAACACAGTACATATATAATTTTTTGGTTGACATAATTTTTTTTTTTTGAGACAGAGTCTTACTTTATCACCCTTGATAGTGCTGTGGCATCGCAGCTCACAGCAACCTCCAACTCCTAGGCTTTGGTGATTCTCTTGCCTCAGCCTCCCGAGTAGCTGGGACTACAGGTGCCTGCCACAACGCCCAGCTATTTTTTGTTGCAGTTTGGTGGGGGCTGGGTTCAAACCCGCCACCCTCAGTATATGGGGCCAGCGCTCTACTCACTAAGCCACAGGTGCTGCCTGATTTAAGTATGCTGCAAAAGGTTAACTATAGGTTCAAGCATGCCATAAGACAAAAAAGGTTGAAAATACTCCCACCCTCTTGGGAATGGGAACATCTGGAGTGTCGTTGCTGACCCCCACCCCAAGCAGTGGTCCTAGTCCACAGGCCCCTCAGCTGTTGGGAGGAGATGGCAGAAGCCAGAACACTGGGCTTGGGAGGGGAGGCCCAGATTCAAGTCCGGCTCTGAACCACCTGAAGCCCCAGTAACCTGGGCTACTATTGTAGCAGAGGCAGCAGAGGTAGGTGAGCGGATGCCCCAGGACAGCACCTCCTGCCACACTGCTTTCCAGCCAGAGACCAAGGCTATAGATCAGGAATTTTTTTAAGCCTTTAACAAAAGTTAAATATACTTTTAAAAATTATTTAAATAACACATATCTTTGCCCCAGTCTCACTCCTTGGAAGCAGCCCTTGCTGGCATGTAGTGTATAGCCTTCTTGACCTTTGGCCCTTACTTACACACTGGCCGGTTACACTGTGTGTCCCGTTCGGGAACTTGCCTCCCTCCAGGACAGCTCTCCGTGCTGCATACACGTCTCCCTCATTCTTTTTCAGTGGCTGCAAAGACTCCAAAAGTACAGAAGGGCCCCCAATTTACTTGGCTGTTCCCCATTTGGCAAGTGTTTGGGTGGTTTCCAGTTTTTCTCCATCACAGGCAACTCTTCACTGAGCAGGTTGAAGACTGCACCCGGACCTGCACGTACACCCTGGTACACAAGTGCCCTCTGGAGCCCAGATGCTTACAAGCGGAGGGTTTCGGGGTCAGAGCACAGGCACCATTTCATTTCTAAAGCAGGAGCAGCCTCAGGAGGTGGGCTGATGCCACCAGTATGAGCACAGGCTTGTCCCCTCATCTTCAACCCACGTGCCTTTCTCTTCCTCTTCAGGTACGAGGTGATCTGCCAAAGCTCTGAGCTGGCCAAGGACATCCTGGTGCCCTCCTTTGACCCCAAGAACAAGCACTGTGTGTTTCAAGATGACCTCCTGCTCTTCAGCTGTGCTGGCGCCCACCCCAGGCACTGGAGGATCTGCCCCTGCCGGGACTTCATCAAAGGCCAGGTGGCTCTCTGTAAAGACTGCCTATAGCAGCCACTCGCTCAGCCCCACACCATGCTGCTGGGACAAACAGTGGCTCCAGCCCCGCTGGGCAGGGCCAGGGGCCTGAACATTTTGGTAGAAGCTTTTCATTTTGGTGTTGCTCCTGCTGCTATCAGAGCAGCCCCATGGAGTCTTTCACCAAACCAAAAGGAGAGCAGATAGCAGGCCGGAGTTTGGTTCTCCCTGGCATAGCACCGTTTCCATTTCTCAAGGAGCAACTATGGGGAGACTCTGTGGATTCAGCTGCTCCAGGGTAAAAAGAGAGTCTCAAGAGTCATTTAAAACTAAACAAGAGGAGGAATCAAGCTGATTGGAAAGAACTTTGAATGGGAACATTCCTAAACCCATTAACTTATTTATTTGGGAGGGAGGGAGGGGGGCGAGGAAGGGAGAAGAAGGCTTGATCACACCTTTCTTCTTTTATTTCCACTGTTAATCATCCACCTTCGCTATGCTGTTATTCTGTCTGCTTCAGGTGGGATGAAGGAGTTGGCAGGGTGTGCCGTGGGGCTGGTGGCATGCTCAAGGGGACCTGGCTGCAGGTGGCAGGAGAGCCAAGGAAAATCTTGCTCTGGAAACACAGCCAAATTCTCCAAGCACTGTCAGAGACAGCAGCCAGAGGATGGGTATAGTGGGACGTACTTGTGTTGTCCAGAGAGCCCAGGCAGGGACGGAAGATAGGGTGGACCCCTTTCTTCCATGTCCCCACCCAGACCTACACCTTGGCCCTAATTTCTGGTTAGCATCCTTTTAGGAAGGAAGTGCAGAATAGGAGAATTGAGCAATTCTGCTACTTTAGATTCTTCCTTCATCCCATGCCACTGTAAGGAGGGAAGTGGAGATGAGGGACTCTCACAGCTGCTTTGGGACTTTGGTCCATCTTTGAGCTTTGATTTGGACAGGAGTGAAATTGGTCCTTAAGAACAAGTGGCATGACTGGAGCCTAACAAGGGGGTTTGTATTATGTCCCCTCTTATGTCACCAAACCCAAGGAATGGACCTCTCAGAGAACATGGTGTTCACTGGGGTACATCCTAGGATGTACACAGTCGCTGTGCTGTCCTGGCCACTCACTTGTGGGTGTGTCTTGCCAGGGCAGGACCTCTGGTGCTGGCTTTTCCTTTATGCATCTGTCATTCTGACAGGGATGAGCCACTCGCTGATTGGCCTTTTTGGGGGCAATGGACCCCACCCTCCATCCTGCAGCCCCCATGCTTTGCTTCCTTGCTGGGCCCAGGACAGAGGCTTGCTGGTGACAGAATGAGTTCCCACCCCACTAAAGCATTGCTTCCACGCTCTGTGTACAAGTTTGTGAGTTTATTGTGAATCCCCTGACACCTCCAGGCCAGGGAGCATGAATCCCCTCCTAGCTGTTGTAGAATGTCCCTGGGAGGAGCCATCAGCATTGTCCAGCCCTCACAGGACACCTTGGCTACTGGTGCTCCACACCACAGCCCTGTGCTTCCCAGCCACCTCCCAGATGCCAGGGGGTGGTGTGAGCAGCCAGATAGAGCAGAGGGGCAAGGCCATGCCTAGGTGTGTGTTCGAGGAGTAAGAGAAAAGGTTTCTGCTTCATGGGGACCTGAGGGAATGGGGAGCCTTTAAATCTGGGCAGTTAGATTCTTCCTCCTCCTTGGTTGGTACCCTGGTACGTAAATAATACCAAATGCATAGGCAGCCTTTTTTCTGAGGCTGGCTCTCAGATACCTGCTGTGGGTCTGAACTGCATGTCTGGTCTAAAAGACTGAAAAGGGGCTGAGGAAGAGCACCCAGAGTCTCCATCAGGGAGAGAGTGAGTGTGTGTGTGTGTGTGTGTGTGTGTGTGTGTGTGTTCGTTCCTTTAAGCTTTGCAAGGGTAGTTTCCTTCAGTAAGAGGGCAGACAGCTGACAGCCTGGCTGTGAGGAAGAGCTTTTCCCGAAGTGTAGGACTTGTGGACCTGGCTTGAGTTCCCAGCCCTGCAGTTCCTGGTGCAGCGCCGCCCTCTCCTGGTTCTGCGGGACCCCGAGTACTGAGGCTACCAGTGCCCTCTCGACCAGCAGGGGGTGCCAGCGGGCCGGGACTGCGTTCATTGGCCACGTTAACTTGCTGGGCAGAGAGGGCCGTCTAGACACGCAGGCGCTGGAGAGAAAGCAGTGTTGCCCCTGCCTTGCGTCTCAGAAGCTGCAGGGATTGTTTGCCATCTGCTCTTGAGTTCAGAGCCTCCCCACTTTCCTGGTCCTCTTTTCCGAGTCAGGACCCCAGGGTCACGCAGCCGGGAAGAGCGCTTTCTCTCACTTAAAACTCCATTTTCCCCACCCCAGTTAGTTCCACAAGGGAGGCTGCAAACAAATCCACACTCCAGTTATTAAGGGCGTTATCGATAGAACCAGAAACTTATAAATGTGTGCTACCTCCCAGGGCAACTCAGACTTAGTCGAGGTCAGAGCATTGACCCTAGAGAAGAAATTGGGAGAGGAGGGCGCCCCTGATGGTATGCAGTGGTTTTGCCATAGCTGATCTTAATAGATTCCTAACCCAATTTGTAATTGGTGACACTGCCTGGGGAGAGAAAACCTAAATCAAGATTAATGTGTATGCTGTAATCACGCCTTGCCTGGTTATTTGGATTATCTTCCCCATTATGATCCCAAGCTCTTAAAAACTTGAGGGAAAACATTTATCTAATTTACTAAAAGAGATAAAGAAAGCTTTCTTTTGAATGATAAATGGTTTCAGGAATTAAAACTCCTGAAAGGAGAAACACTTCTTTGAATGCCGGTAAACACCTCATTTATTTCATGTATGCAGTTTGATTTGCACAAGTATAAATGGAGATACGTTTTGCATTTTTGCTTTGATTGGGTTTTTGTCACTGCTTTATTAGAGTTTGCTTTTTTTGTGTGTTTGGAGATATTAGAGTCTGGGTTTTTTAGGGCAATATTTGTTTTCCTGATGTGCCTTTTCCCTTTTCTTTGGGGTTGGTTTTGGAATCTGGGTGCTGTTGAAGGACAATAGCAGACACTTCTATGTTGGAGACAGGACTTGTCCTTGGGTAACTAAGGCTGGGCACCTACAGCATCCTCCAAGTCCCCTAGGCCATAGCACGTATGCCTGTGCACACCCTGCCCCACCTCCTACCCCCTACTCCTAGGGAGGAAAGTGAAGCAGTGAGAACCCCAGGGAAAGGAGTGGCTTCCTCCAGGGCAGCCCACACCCTCCTGGACTGCTTAGCTGTAGCTTTGGGTCGGTCTTGGGACTGCTAGTTGTCAGTGTGCTGACTGGCCTGTGCTTTCTGCTGCCCATGCCTTGCTAAGGTGTGGCAGTCCCATGAGAAGGATTACACCAAAGGAGTACTAGGCCTGATGAACTCAGAAATTCTTCACCTAGTCAGTATCATAAAAGGGAAAGAATGTGCACCCCTGTGTTTGTTTCTTTAGGGAACACAGGATTTAATAAGGTGAATACTGAGCTTCCCGTTTGGGAGTACAGCCTTAGTGCAACTCACCGGTACTAAAAAGATACCAGTGTGATGAATTGGATTAAAATTAATGTGTGTTAATAGGTGGGTGTGTGCTTTTTAGAGCAGACCAAGGTGGTTTACCTAGATCATGTATATAATTGAACATTGCCACCCTCTCCCATGACCCAAAATTCTTGATTTTTTAAAGTCTATTTTGTTAACGACAGGCTCTGTTGTATATGTTACTGTCCCAAGCCTGGATTGTTTTATTTATTTAAAAATATTTTAATTTCCATATTGCCTTTATTCTAATCCCATCCATCCCTGTGGAGCTGCAGAGCATCTTCATGTGAATAGATGGATGAACATAGACTAATTTAGGAAGCCAAGAATTTGAGGGTGAGTTTCTGTTGTTCTTGTTGGCTTCAACAAAAAGTGGAAAACCAACTTTTTATAGCAAAATACCAAATTAGGTGTATAGTCTTGGGTTCAGGAAAAAAAAATTACCCTAGCTTTCTTAGCACTTAGGGTTTTGTGAGGATTCAATGTTTAGCATAGTACTGGCACATAGTAAGCCCTAGTAAATAATTACTAATAGTAGTGTTTCATAAAACTTGAGAAAGAGCTGAGCTAATTCCCTATCTGTTGTCTCAAAAATGATACCCACACAAAAATATTATTCCATGTTGACTGAATGTTGTAGGAATTACTGGTTTAGATTGTCCAAGTTCTGTGCCTACTCTACTGGTTGAAATTTTACTGTATCCCTTAATGCACTGATATGAAATTATGCCAGCTTCAGCCCCCAGTAGAAACAAGGCTGCACAAATGTATGAACTGGAGTCGAAAAGGATAAAGGTGGCCTCTGGTCACATATTGGCCCTCACCCCACTGATGTCTTCCAGAACATTCCAGGAGTTTCCTTTAAGGAACATTTTGAGCTAGAAATTAAAACAAGGTTTCTTACACACTGCACCCCTTGAATCAAAGTTAACACTATTCCTCTAAGGTGCAATAAGGGAGGCTTTGCTGTGTTACTTAAGGGAGAAGGAATGACCAATGGAACGTTCACATTCCCCAGGGTGTCCCTCTGCTGTCCTGCTGCTGGCTGGGGCTGCCCCTCCTGGGTTCAGGGATCAGACTGCCAGATTGGTTAGCTCCCACATTTCCATCAAATTACAGGTTGATTCCCTGGTCCTAGAGCATCCCCACCCCCAGCTGAGCAGGCTGAGGCAGTGGGGCAGGTATTTTGCCCTTTTAAGAACAGCTCCTGGTGGCTGCTCATGTTTTAATTATATTTTCCCAAATCACCTATATACCAGTTTGCTTTTTGTATTGTTGGGGATTTCAACTCTTCCCTAATGGATTTAAAGTTTTCTCTCTTGCCTCATCTTGGCCTGGCTCTGGATAGACTGCAGTTGTGGAATGGGGGGAATTTGTTGGAGTTCAATGTCTTTTTCAAATTCCTTTGGATTCTCTTCAGCAGAGTCAGCAGTCTTATAGTTCTATGGATGTAATGATTGGAATTTACCTTCTTCAAAGCATCACTATCTGTCCCAGATTTTATGCAGCCTAAGACTGTCCCTCCTCACCACCCTGGCCCCCACAGCTGGGGAGGCATGGCAAAGGGACCAAGGGGGACCCTATGCTTCCGTGGTAGGCAAGGCCATTGTCACTGGGGGTGGGGTGGATGCTTAGAGCATTTGGGTGGGTTGGGACAGCAGGTCAAAAACAGGTCAGAAACCTCAGCACAGACTGTCATGCCCACCAAAGCTGAGGGGGAGCAAACTTGGGGAACGTTTTGCTCACTGTTCTGCCCAAGTATTGACACGACGAATAGCATAACAATTGATGCCAAAGGAGATGGTGATGTCCCTTCTACTGTAGTTGCTATCACAACCTTGATGTCTTTAAGCTAATGGATGTCTGCATCTGTCTTCAAACAGATCTTGGTACAACTGTTTTCTACTGCTCACTTCTAGGGTTAAGTAGTGCAGGATTCTGCAAATAAGATGTCACTGTCCAAATGTACTGTACTGGCATAGAGAGCACTGCTTTGTTTTCCACTGTTGTAGAGAAAACTAGGGAGAACTTTATTTTTCAATAAACTTTTCTTGTGTGACAAGTGGAAGTGATTTGGTGGGGAGGCTGGATGGAGGCAGGACAGCTCTGGAACAGAGCTAAGCCGATGTCTAGCTGCATTGCACAGCCTGCAAACACACTGTTGAAATGGCTAGTAGGGAGATAGGAAGGCGTTCGGGGGAGAAAGGGAGGGTTTCAACTACCTCAACTACTAGACTTTTTTTAGGTGTAAATACATCGCACCTAGCCCGTCTTAAAAATCTTTCAAGATGGGCTAGTATAACATCCCTGAAAAGGCTGGGCATTAGGGCCCATTAGACCCAGAAGACATTCATCCTCCTCAAAAAGGGAAACTTTTGAACCAGGGATCAGTGGCCATGAGCACTCAGGCCAATGCCCTGGAAACAGACTTAAGGTGGAGTCCAGCAGCTTGTGTGCAGGTGACACTGAAGCCACGTGGCTCAGCCCTTGGCAAGGCCTCTGAAGTCAGAGGACCCCCTGCCACTGACCAGGGATGCCACACAGTTCCCAGAGTGTGTTTGGTGGAACACAAGTCCTGGCAAAGCTGTCGGGGTAACACCAAGGGTCTGAGTTTAGGGACGCCACATCGTAGCTTTGTTAGATACGAATGAGGGACCGTGCAGGAGAGAAGCCTACACTTGGCTGTTTTTTTCATGTGTCACATTCCCGTCCACGGGAATGCTCAGAGTGCTGTTGGGGGAAGAGCCGCTGAAGACCCCATACTGGATCAAGGTTGTATGGCAAGCTCTTCCCTTCAGCAGCCTAGAGGGAGACGGGGCTCCAAAGGCTGGGGGGAGGCTCAGGGAATGGGTGTTCCCTAGTTCTAAGTGCTGTAAAGCACGTGTGTGGTCAGTGCGGGTTGGCCTGTGCCACAGAGAGCACCAAGCCCATCTCCACAGTCCTTCAGGGTCCCAACTCCCCATCTCCCCAGGAGGAAAACCTTTAACCACAATGGAAAGCCAGTGGGACTGCCACGTGTTGGTGCCGCACAGTGACAACTCTCAAAGATCACCGTCCTGTGCCATACAAAACAGGTAAAGGTCTTTATTGGTCAGACACTGCTGCCTGGGCACACAGCAGTCGAGAGGTACAGAACATTGTGGGTTAGGGGGGCATGTCTATGGACTCTACACCGAACATTACACAAACTAAAAATGCCTTGTTCCTTACAGAAGAGTAAACCATCTCTCACAGACTGTAATGTATAGCATTACCACTGAGCACGGCATATAGATATATGCATATACGGATAATTATTTATTACAAATAAACTGTAGTTTCACATCGCTCCAAAATGGATCATGTTTTCACATGGATGTTCAGGTTCTGAATGTACAAGAAAGGGTCATGTGCTTATTTTAGTTCCTCCATGCAAAGCTCATACGTATATCACTAAGTACTTTAAAAAATAGAATGGTCTCCTTTTGAACAAATAAATATGTTTAGGCTTAGTAAAACAGTATGAAACTAATGAGATATGGTGGTAGAAAGTAGGAAGCCATATACAGATGTTTCTGGGGACGCGAAGGGATGAGACACAAGAGGGCACAGTCTTCCCTTAAAATCTGCCAGGAGAGAAGAGACTTTGGAACTAGGAGGTGGCCGGGGCCACACACAGTCCCGAGGAGGCGGACCTGGTCAGATGCTATCCATTTCAGGCTCAGAGCACCACAGACAACCTCCTGCCGAGCCATGATGTATGTATCCTACCCAAGAGAATCATTTTACTCCACAAAATAGAAAATGTCAGTCCCAGCTGAAGAGGAGAAAGTGTCCACTCCTAAGGGTGTTGTCCTAACTGACCGGGGGTAGGGGAGAGACAGCAGAGGAGGGGGACAGGGTAGATCCACCTGCTGGGCAGACCTTGCCCTGTGACGACAAACCGTGTGAAAGAAAACGTCCAACAAAGAAACTGGATGTTCAGTTAAATATTGGCACCCGTGGCCCATGTGGAAACCTCTGGTCATCTCGATGGTCTCTCTCATGCAGAGCAGCCCGCACTAGCCCTGCTGGCCCCTTCACTCAAACATCTCATAGTGACGTGTCTGCCTCACCCGCGGCACCATGTCGATGAGGAGTCTGCCAAGAGGAAACACACGAGGTCACCCAGACGCCAGGCCCTCCACAGCCTTGGGGCGTGAGAGCTTGGGCAGGCACGGAAGAAGTTGTGTTTGTATTTTGGGGTTTTCCTGCACTGATTTAAAAGAATAAAATTTATGGGATGTAAAGAGTAACCTCCTGTGGTTTTTAGTATATTCATGAATTTGTTTAATCATCCCACTGTCTTAATTCCAGAACATTTTTGTCATCCTAAAAAGAAACCCTATACCCACTATAGCAGTCACCAATAATCTAGTCCCAGTGGGTTTGCCTGGATATGTCGCATGAATGGATTCAGACAATAGGTGGGCTTTTGTAACTAGCCTTTTCTCCTTGAGGTTCATCCAGGCTGTAGCAAGTAATAGCACTTCACTCCTTTTCATGGCTGATCCACTGCACGGGTCCTGCACATTCATCAGCTAATGAACAGTCGGGTGGTTTCTACATCTTACCTATTATGACTAACACTTCAGTGAACCTCATGTACAAGTTTTTGGTGTGGATGTAGTTTTCATTCCTCGGCAGCATCAATACCAAGGAGCAGAATGGCTGGGTCTGATGGTAACTCCATGTTTAACGTTTTGAGGAACTGTTCAGTTGTTTTCCAAAGTAGCACCATTGTACATTTCTGCCAGCCACAGATTAGGAGTCCAATACTTCCACATCCTCACCAAGATTGGAACTGTCCCTCTTTTGGCTATAGTCATCTTAGTGGGAGAAGGGATATATTTCAATATCTAAAAGCACAGAACCTTTAGAAATGGTCTGTCAAAGGCCAACCTGGGTGTTGGATCTGGAGTCAGTGATGCTGACATGGCCTTCTATAAGAAATTCTCTGAACCGAGCGGGAGGGGGGTGTGCTGCTTGCAACCTCACTGTAGCATCACTCAGTGGGACTTTACCTGAAGATGCTCATCCGGGACAAGGTGAAGACCACCGTTACAGAGTAGGGAGTATAAGCCTTGAGAAGGGAGTTAAAGGGACCGCCTTTTAGTGGGTCATGAAGAATCACACAAGAATAAAGGAGCTCCTTTGTGCGTATAAGCCTTATGCCTATTTTTAAAGTCTGCCTCACTTCTGTGCCAGTGACAGAATTCTGACCTGCTGGGGGGCTTCTCCAGTCCCCTGACATTGGAAGGTACCCAGGTAGGAAATGTGACTGCCAGGATCCCAGCTGGGGAAGGGAGCTGGGAAAGCAAAGATGAATGTGCAGATACATACTTGACCCCATAGGCAAATATGGTGAGGCCGATCAGCACCCCTATGCTGCCATCCAGGTACCAGACTGCGGCGTTGTGCTTGAATACTTCTGCACTCAGAAGAATGGAGAAGCCCATCACGCCGCCCACGAGGGAGTTAAACCCTGCAAAAGAAGCAGAGAGAAGCTGCGTGGCAGTACAAAGCAATCTTTCTCAGCCACCAGGAAAACTACTCAATGCCAGCCATGCCTCCTCCGCCTTCTGGAGCAGGTGCCGGAAGGAACAGTGCCCAAAGCTCTTTCACGAGTGATAGCCACCGCCTGGATACCTACGTAGCACATGGAGTCTGCTCAGATGTCACCAGAGACCTCCCAGGATTGAGCCGTCACCCCACTGCCAGTCTGCACCTGGTTTATTTTTCTTCTGAGCACTGATGCCCCATGAGTGGGTCGCTACTGTTCTCCCCCCATGCCCACCAGAATGCAACCTCCTGGGGGCAGGGCTGTGGGTCCCTGTTGGCTCCATAGCCCCAGGGCAGTGCCTGGCACATAGCTGATATTCACATAGTTAGTGACTACACTGTGTTGAATGTCTGTTGGGCCAGCTTCTAAGCCGGGTATTCTAGACGCACTGTCACCTATAAACCACCTCAGTCCAGATAGAAGGAAATTATTGTCATCCTGTTTTGCTGACAAGACTTAAGTAGAGTGACATTAAATAAACTGACTACGGTTATCCAGAGTTCGGGGGCTGACTGGGACTCACTTTAGAGCAGTGGTTCTCAACCTTCTTGATGCCGTGACCCTTTAATAGTTCCTCATGTTGTGATGATTGGGGGTCACCACAACATGAGGAACTGTATTAAAGGGTCGCGGCATTAGGAAGGTTGAGAACCACTGCTTTAGAGTAACCTAAGGATTTTTTTTTCCTCTCCAGAAGTATGAAGTATATTATCTGAAGCATCCTGTGATGTATTAGCTACATGGCTGGAGGAAGGACCCTAAAAACAGCATTGGAGCTAATAGCTATCAATCAATCACCTTCTCCTTTCACAGGTCACCACATTAAGTCCTACCAACTCACACACCACTTCCATTTTACCTGTGAGTTTTCAGAGGCCATGAGGCAAGAAGGGGTGACTTAGGGTGGCTTCTCGGGGCTCCCTGCCAGGTGAGGCTGCTCCCCTGCCTCAGCAGCACAGTGGCCCAGAGAGAGGCTCTATCAGGTACCACTTGCCAAGAGTCCCCTCCACAGCTCATGCTCAGTCTCTCTTCCTCCTGCACCCCCTCACAGCTGCCACAGAGACCCTCTCCCAACAAATACCCTATCTCAAATGTCATCTGAACCTTCACGCCACCTGAGGAGACGGCCCCCTGCCTCACCCCCCTGCTCTTAGTTTACTGTGCTTCAGCTGCACGTGACCCTGCAGGGCCACTGTGTGCCTGGACTCCACCACCTCAGGTCCCCCCGAGCCTCCACCCCGTCCACCTCCTTGCTGCACCCCCTCTCTCGTCATGGCTTACCACCATCTAAAATGCTATTTTTGCCCTTTCTAAAAAAACCGACTCTCTCACTAAACCTAAATTAAGAACAGGAAGGTGTGTATGTTTTTTTTAGACAACAGGATAGAGTTTGTTGACAGGGAGAAAAATTGATAAGCAATTTTTTGATGGAAGAGGAGAAGCGACAGAAGGTCCGTCCGGCAGTGGAGAGGGGTCCAAGTGGGAGGGAGAGGCACTTGGAATGTAGCAAGGAAGGAGACAGTCTCAGAACAGGGCCCACCTGCTATCAGGGGCACAGATGACTTCTGCAGTAATAAATGAGGTCAAACTAGGGGAGGAGGAAGTCAGGCATGGGGCCCCTCCTCAGCTCTGCTGTCCAGAGAGGGAGCCAACCCCTCCCAGGCTCTCCGGGGCCTCTCCTGAGAGAGCTGCCCCGCAAACCTTGGAAAAGATGAGGCAGGAGCATGAGGTTCTCCAGACGGCCACCAGAGGTCCACGCAGCTCTACCGCGTCACCGCTCTGCCGGCAATGCCACCTGGCAGCCTGCGGTCGGACAGCAGGCCCACCCCTAGGTGCTCTCCAACAGTGCGTGGCCCATGGGTTTGTGTTCACTGCATCTGCTAGGCGGGGAGTCGTGCTTGCGCTGCCGGCTCACCCTCTGATGACAGGGCCTGACTCCTGTGGGCTTCACTTCTAAGTCCACACAGCAACAGGACGGGGAGGATTGTACTGCTGCCCTGCACACCCAGGGGGAATTCCAGAGCCATCTCAGCTGCAGGCATCCCACCTGAGGGGCCTGGGCCCCCTACCCTTCCATGGCAGCACGTGGGCTCTGCGGCCACTCACCTCTGTGACCCCATGCCCACAACTGAGACACAGCTGTTCTAGACCTTTACCTGTTTAAGAACATAATGGCAACAAAACAAGGGGTGGGGCCATCCGGATTAGAAGCCTTGTGAGGCTGGCTTTAGCAACTAGATCAGAATCTGTAATTAGCTACAGTAATTTTAAGCAGACTATTCGGATTGAAAAGATTTTCATGTACTTGGAAAATCACATTGTAGAGTTGGATGTGGGCAAGAGAAAAGCCGGAGCACCCCTCATCTCAGAGGGCTTGCAGACTGGCTCCAGTGGTTCCTGGAGCTAACACGGTCCCCTGGCCCTAGTTCAGAACTTGCCCCTAGGTGCCCTCTCACCATCTTCCTCTGATTTGCGGTATTAATTTTTCGTACAAAATCATCTTACCTTAAATAAACCAACCAAGCTTTGGTCTACTCAAGCAATAAATGCCCATGTTGACGAAATACCCAAAGCAGCAACTGAATAAGACAAGATCTACTGTGTGGCACGGTCTGAAGTGGAAAGCCTGGGTTACCCACAGGCCCCGTCAGCCACAGCCTGCTGCCACCTCTCCCCAAAGATCCGCTTCCCAGCTGTAAGGATACCCCAACAGCAAAGGAGCAGACGGAGTCCTCCTGGGCCAGGTCATACACAGCTCTGGATCAGAACCTGGCTCGCATCCACCCCTCAGGAGGAGCAGTGTGTACAACTTCTTGCTTCCTGGAGAGAGGCACTGGACTGCGCTGTCCATGGCCATCTCAGGGATGCACCCCAGAGCCCCCTGTCCTCAGAGCACACAGCCCATTCTGCCCCACACACCTTCCAACAAGAAAGAACAGAAAGAGGATAATTACATCGTTCCCTAGTTCTGCTAATCAATGAATGAGTCAAGCTCAGCTCCCAGACAATACAATTAGCAGGAGGCTGTAATTACTGCCAAATATTTTGCCAGCAACACCCCCAGAGAGCAGGTGATTGCAGAGCACACCGTGGCAGGGCCTTTATGGGTACGGGACTGGGGGCTTAGTGCCCCTCCTCTCTGGAACAGCACTCTCCCCCTTCCCTCTCATCAAACCCTCTGGGCTGAGTCATCCCCATCTGCCCAGTTTAAAATGACCCCTTCACATCTTCCCATCCCCTCTGCCCAAGCCACCCCCTCACTTAGCTCTCCACCAGGGGCTCCTTGGGGTCAGCTATCACATCACCCAGTCTGTTTCAACATTGGGCAAAATATCCGAAACCCTACCCCCAACCTCAAACCTCTGTGATGTGCCCTAGTTCACTTCCCCTCTCATCCTGGATGCCCCGCGCCACTTCCTGCCACAGCATTCCCTCACTTAAACCATCTATTTTCTTTGCAGCGACTCCTCCTCCCTGGTTCACAAGTATGACAGAAATACTGTTTATGTCTACAGATGGTTTTGTGTATAAGAAATCAAAATCAGAAGTTATTAGGAAAAAAATGCCTGTCATTGTGGGGTTCTCCTCTGTATACCATATAAAATGATGGGAAGTGAGAACACTGAAGGTTTAATCAAAAATTTGATCTGAAATATCTGTAATGTTAAGGAAAAACTACCAGTTAAGGCCTAATGTTCTGAAGAGAAGGGGGCAGGCCCCATGGTCATGGGCAAGAGGGCACAGGGCCACCTGCTGGGTCCACAGTCAGGCTTCTGGCAGGCAGACTCATCTGCATCCTGGCTGTCTGTGGTGACCAGAATGGATAGCCCCATACCTCTGCCAGCCAGAGGGGCCCTGAGCCTTGACAGACCAGCTGTGAGCTGGCTTAGGAGCTGCCTACTGTCTTCACCAGAGCTCACAGAGCGGTCCTGCCCCAGATAATGGGACATGGGTAGAGGGAGACACAGAACACATGGCCCAGTAAAGATGAGGCCCAGGCAGGCCTCTGCTCTGCTCAGCCTTGCAGGGTCTAGGCCAGAGCTGTATCCTTGTGAGCAATGAATATAAAGGGACCTCAAAGGCAGCTGGAAAACCCGAACACTTGACAAATACCTGGGCATCCTTCAACTCTTGGCACAAGCACCTCCTATCCTGGTCATCCCTAAGAAAAGGCAGGGTCCAGGCCAACGAGGCCATTTTCTTTTTCAGACCACAAAACACCAGGCTACAAAAATCACAGTGAGTAAACAAATACCTCACTCCAAATTCCAGGTCTGCCCCCAGAGAATCAGCCCAGGTCTTGTGGGACAATGGATTGGGGTCAAATTGATGCAAACTGCCCATAATTCCATGCTGCTGCTGTGTGTGACACAGACCCTAGAAGGCTTGGCCGAGTTGTGCCATGATATGCTTGTGTCATTCTCAGGAGAGTGAACTGCGAGTTCTTTACATCCGGCTCTGGCAGGAAGCTGTTACTTATGCCCGAGGGGGATTATTTGACTAAGTTGCAACCCCACCTTGGGGACACAGGGAAAGATGTCCCACCGTAATTGGCAGACACCAAAAAGTGGCAATTCTGCACTGGGGGCTGGTTTGTTCACCCAATTTGAGTGCTGGGTGCAAGCAAATGGTGTGAAGCGCCACGGATTCAGGGCTGCTGTGCCCTGCAGGACAAGATGGCAGCAGAGTCCTGCTGCCTATTCACTTCCCCCAGAACTGGGACTGGGCCAGCCTGCTATCCACAGGGGACGTAAGCAACGCATGAAAGAGGAGGGCTCAGTCCCAGAGACCAACCCTTCTGCTGTTTTAAACCACATTTTACTTACTGTGTAAAAAGTCTGAGGCCTAAAACATGCTTCTCCTCTGAAGAAGTTAAGGAAAATTCACCCCAAAATATCACTCCTTGGTCTAAAGAATATTTTGAATTAGAGGCCCTTAGAGATCAACAGGTGTTAGAAGGCGCCTTCCCTCTATCTGCATGCAGCCAGATCCACTGAAAAGAACAATCTTCCCTTCCCTCTCTGTTATCTCAGTGTATTGCAGAAGAAAAGATCAAGAATATAGCCAGACCTGGCCCAAGCCATTTTAAACATAATATATGTCCCTCAGATTTTGTTTCCAAAGAGAATCATTCACAAGTCAGTCTGTTTCTCCCCATCCATTCATTCTTCCAAATATCTGTTCATGCTCCCTAGTAACCATTTATGTCCTTACACAGAATTCCCTATATTCCTCATCTCCTCCACCCCTTATATATCCTCTAAAATTAGGGTAAACTTCTAGACCCCATTGGAATATGGGGTATTCCCTCTGTGATTCTCCCCATGTACACAATCAATAAATCTTTCTCTTATCAATCAGCCTTACTATGAATTGATCTTTCAGTGAAAGTTTCCCCTCACCCCCACACCTGCATCTGTCATCCAAAAGGCCATGCAGGAAGTTCCCCTGGACCCCAGGGACACACGTGTTCTTTCCTAGTGGGTTGGGACTCTAAGCGGAGAACACAAAGGTCATTTCCCCAGTACAGGCACCTGGTAATTGCAATGTGAACTCCAAGGGTCCCACTAGCTGGAGGGGAAAACATGCATGGAAAATTCACAAAGGAAACATCTGTGGAATCCAGAAAAGGCCCTTACTTGTTATGTGGAGCAATGCACATAAAACCCAAGACTCCAAGAAGTCCTTTGTGCTTCCTGATTAAGAGGCTGGGGAGCCCCGACCTCCCCCATCCCTCTCCCATTAGTAGGTCAGGGTAGAGGTAATTCACAAAGAGTTTATTAAATTCCCAGGGCACATGACATCTGCCTTGACGTGGGAACACCAAGAATCATTAAACATCTGGGGGATGAGAAAGAGCGGTGAAGATGGATTCCAAATTATTGAGTTCTCCTGCAAGACCAGCAGTTAAAAGTGACCCAAACAGCACCTTCCTTTGCTGTGAGCTCAGCCCCCAGAGATCGGACACACTGGTCTTACTCACCATCTGTTATGAGAGCTCTGCTGGTCAGAACCTTCCCCAGCATGAACTTCAACACAGCCAGGATGCTGCAAAGAATCCCACTTAAAATGGAGACACTGAACAGGAAATCGTCCTAGAAGAGAAAGTTCCAGATTTCAACACTTCTTCTTCTGTTAGAGCAGATAATCTACAAACCACTTGCCTTAAAGATCAGCTTCATTCCAAGTACAAATAATCTGTCAGGTCTGCTGCCACTAGGGAGGGTGCTGCAGGCTTACGTGCCTCAGCTACCTGCCTGTCTGGGAATTAGAAAAGCTGGCCAAACCCAGATAATCTCAACTTATAGTTATTAGAAAACCATTGTGTATTTCCTTTACAGTAGGAGATTTGCCTTCCTATTCTGCTAAAATGAGTGGCAATCAACTGATTAATAACAGAGTTAGAGACCAGGTGTGGTGGTTCACACCTGTAATCCCAGAACTCTGGGAGGCTGAGGTGAGAGGATTCCTTGAGCTCAGCAGTTCAAGACCAGCCTGAGCAAAAGCAAGACACCGTCTCTGCTAAAAATAGAAAAATTACCCAGGGGTTGTGGCTGGCCCCTGCAGTCCCAGCTACTTGGGAGGCTGAGGCAAGAGGATCACCTGAGTCCAAGAGTTTGAGGTTGCTGTGAGCTATTGATGCCACATCACTCTACCCAGGGGAACAGAGTGAGACTCTGTCTCAAAAAATAAATAAATAAGATGAAAATTAAAAAAAAAAAAAACCAAAGTTGGTCAGAATGTAAGAACAGTGTCTTCTAAGCAGAGTTTTCCAAAAATAATTCACAAAGCAGTTGATTGAGAATCTTAGAACACAGAAGTATACCACTGGCCTCAAAAGCCTTTACCACAAAGTCAACTGAATTTGCTGTAGGGTCAACTACAGCGGAAGCTACTTAAAACTGTGTAATTTTTTCTTAAATTCACACAAGGTAAATGGGAGCTCAAATATACCCTACAGGGTAAGGAAAATAGGATCTAAAAATACAGTCTGCTATTGACGTTATCTTAACACTTCCTGAAAGTTGTTACCTTACCTTTCCAAGCAAAGAGTGAATCACATAGGCAAAAGCAAGCACCATCTCCTGACACAGTACCCTTCCAGCCTTGCTGCTTCTGTGTCACACCCGTGCCACACAGCCTCTAGATTTCCCAATATTAAAATGCAACTGCCAGCAGAAATCTGATACAGCATGATACATACACAAAGAAATAGGATTCACCTTCCGTATTTTATTAATCAAATTCATTAACTTCATGACAGTGCCTAGGAAGACAACCTATTTCCCTGGGCCTGAAACTGAGCAAAGTCATTTGAAAAATTATTTCTCTGGAAACAGGCTATCTGTACAGGATCAATGGCAGCAGTGGTTTTAAGCATATGTTTTAAAATGCTTTGCTAATCCTCTAAGAGGCAGAGATGAATCCCCTCACCCATGCCCTGACCTTAAGTATGGACTGGACTGGTGATAAGAGTACAGAGAGGGAAATGGTAATTTAATAGTGGCAAAACACAGGAGACGCCACCTTAGCCAAGTGATGGAGATTAACAGTACCCTCGATAAGCTGTGCTGACATCACGTGCCCCTGACATGATGTGACAGGAAGGGCACTTCACCTCCTTGGTGTTCTGCCCCCAAATTCAAAACCTCAGCTTAACTGTGAAGAAACATCCAACAAACCCAAACTGGGGACAGTCTACAAAATACCTGAGTGCTACTCCTCAATTGTCAAGGTCATGAGAGACAAAGAATGAGGGAGAAACTGTCACAGATGGGAGACTAAGATGTGACAACTAAATGCAACATGTCTGGACTGGATCCTGGAACAGAAGTAGGTCATCAGTAGAAAAACTGAGGAACTCAGCAGAGCGTCTACAGTTTTGTTAACAATGTTGCAATCTCCTACTTTGGATAACTGTACCATGCTATGTGAGGTGTGAACATTAGGGCAGGCTGGATGAAAGGCATATGGAACTCTCTGTACTATCTTCAAAAGTTGTCTACAAATCTACAATTATCTTAAATTTGAAAGTTCATTTACAATAATCACCTCATTGAAGCTCCCCCTCTTCAAGTTATCAGGAAGGGCTGTGCTAAAGCTGCCTCCTCCAGGCCCCTGGAGTCCCTGCTGTGTCTGAGAGACACAGAGGTGGGGACGACCCATGTCTAAGCTCCTTTGTAGGGGGAACTCAGCCTAAGGACAGGAGACAGCACCCATAGAAAATGTATACCCACCAAGTTCACATGTTGAAACCCTAACCCCCAGGTGAAGGTATGAGGAGGTGCGGCCTTTGGGAGGTGACTAGGCAGATACTTGTGAACGGGATCAGTGCCCTTACAGAGGAGGCCTGGAGAGCTGCCTCCTGTGACCCAGAACTTGTGCTCTTAACAGACACCGAATCTGCTGGCGCCTTGATCTCAGACTTCCCAGCCTCCAGAACTGTGAGAAATATGTTTCTGTTGTTTCTAAGCCACTCATCTACAGTATTTTCTTCCAGCAGCTTGAATAGACACAATTAAGGAATTGTACAATCTCAGGTGCTGACAGACTCAGAAATCACAGGTTGGGAGGCAGTCGGTTAAGTATTTTGAGGCTCCAAATTCAGAGGCTGAATTCTCACTTTGCTGCTCCACACTGGAAGCCCTTCTGTCTCCATTCAATTTCTCCACTTGCAAAGCATTCTTGTAAAAGAAACATAGGGAACTTACTACCTAGGATAAAGAATGCATGGTGAAATGTAAAGAAATTTCAGAGAGATTAGGAGTGAAATCTACAGTTCTCCAGGCCCGGGCGGCTCTGAGGTCCACCTCCTGGAGGGGAGGAGAGAAGGTTCATGGCGTAGAAAAGCAGAAGCCTGGTGTAGTTAGAGGAGGCAGGAGCCCTACCTAATAGCTACGCACCTCTGGGCAGGTTGCCTAACTCCTCCCTTCCTCCCTTTCCCCATCTGCAAAATAGAAAGAATAGTAGGCCCACCCCACCACCCCACCACCCCACCTCATGCTGGCTTCATATAGTGTGCGCAGAGCTCAGCTGGAACTTCATTTCCCAGAATTTCCTTCTTACGTGGAGCCCAGTTAGGAGACATCTGGGTGAGATGTGGAAGGAAGAGGTGATGCAGATGCTCTCAGTCCTTGGAGCTGGTGTGGGACACAGGCACTGCCCGCAGCTCAGGCCTATCTGGCTGAGCCACAGGTGTACAATGACAAGGGAGCACCTGCTGGATCCCCTCCTTCTGCTTCCGTGAGCCCTGAGTCACGGCACAGGTACAGCTCCTTCTGCAGGTCACGTGAGTCTTGGCTGAAGGCAAGGCCAGGCCCTCCTGCTAGGCGCCAAACTGTCCCTGCCCCTCCACTCCACTTCCTCCTGACTGCCTGCCCTGCTGACCCCAGGCAAGCTCAATGCCAGGCTCCAAGGCAGTGTCCCGACAGGGACATCTTCACCATCAACCACTGTCATGTGAGTTCTCATCCCTGCAATGAGCCCTTTATTCTATATCATTTATAGCGGTCTGCTCCTCTGCTTAAACCCGACATAACATTTCACAAGCATGTGTCACAGGGCTTACACAGTGCCCGGCATGGAGAGAGTATATGACTACTAAATTTTTCAAATGTGAGGAAACTGATATGCAATAGGGCAAGTTTTTCCTGTCTATGGATTATTTCTACCAATGACCATCTGCTCACAGAGGAACTGGAAAATACTACTGTCCCGCTGTGGGAGGACACAGACTATGGTCATCTCTGAGTCTCATCCACAATGCAGTGTGTGGCTCAATGCTGCTGAGCTGATCTGCCTCAGAGTAAAAGAAAGCCTGCAGAAGACCCCAATGAGGGCCTGGGCTGGCACAGACCTACCAAAGCTCTTCTCCCAAAACTAGCTTTCAAGGTCCTAGAAGGTCTATGATTTCCCCACCCAGAGCCCAGCCAGCTCCCCTGGTCGGCAAACACCCCCCTCTCCACCCAGGTCTCCATAGGCCACATCAACTGTCACCATGAACATAGGGTCACAGAGACAGTCATCAGCCTGCTCAAGACATTGACCCTTATTCTGAACTAGACATCTAGGTTTCCCCCAAATCCATGTGTTGAAGCCTAACCCCCAACATGACTATATATGGAGATGGGGTCTCTGGAATCTACCTAGGTTTAGACTTGGAGGGGGCATCCTAATGAGACTAGCCCTTACAAGAAGAAAACAAGACATCTCTCCTCTCCCCCACCCCGACATGAACCAAGGAGAGGCCATCTGAGGACACGTGAGAAGGGGGCCATCTGTAACACAAGGAAAGATGCCTCACTAGACACTGACTCCACTGGCACCTTGATCTTGAACTTTCAGTCTCTAGAACTAGGCAGAATAAATTCCTGTCATTTAAGCCATCCAGGTGATGGCATTTGTCTTTGGCAGGCCAATGTAAGACAGCCTCCAAGTTTAATCAAAAAAGTTGTTTCTGAGAGCACACCTTCTCCAGCCAAAACAGACATGGCTTATGATGAAAAACTGCAACCCTTGCAGGTGTGTATCCACGCAGGTATACACCACCACTGACTTCCTTCAGGGCAGCCACTCCTGTCATCTCACTTAATTCTCAGACCTGTGTTGAGTGGGCATCTGAAAGGTGCAGAGAGGCTAAATACCAATGACCGTCTGCTAGGGTTACTCTGCTAGGACCTGGAATTGTTACCAATTGTAAACTCTATGAGGGTACCTCACCTATGGCATAATCATCTCTCATGTCCCTAAACCATGGGTTCTGTAAAAACAGAAACAGCCATTTCTTGCTAAATATGCTGTTCCCACTCTTACCAGCACTAGGTCTCTAATTCTCACAGTTGAATCTTCACTGAATGATGAAAATTTGAGACAATATTTAAGATTAGCCACTCATTCAGAGACAAGGATAAATGTACATTTAAGGTAAACTCTACATAAATTATGTCCATGCTAACAAGCTCCTTCAAGACCTTGTAGTGGTAAAGGCCCTTTGTAATCATATTAAAATTCATAAAAGTTTGGTATACTTGATATAAAAATTAAAACATATGCAGAAAAAAGGTCATATTTAAATAAAAACGAGGACATACATTAT